TTGAGGACCAATATTTATATATTTATCCTAATTGTTTAACTCAAAATCACAAATTCTTTATCAATGTAATTTTTCACATCTCTTTCAAGACACCAGTTACCCCATGTCCATAAATATTACATTATTCTTCTCTTTCTATTTGCATTTATATTTTCTCATGTCTTCCAAATTTATTTTTTATTTTTCATTTATACAATTTTAAATATTTGATATAATTTATTTTCAGATTTATATAAATAAATAAAATAAAGTAAAACATAAAAAAAAATCTTTCATTTTTTGAACTGTCTAGTTCACCAAAATCGATCCCGATTTTATTCTTATTTTGGTTTTTTGCCATTGAAGCAATTTTATCTCAACTTTATAGACCTAACTGTTTATTTGTCCAAATCAAACCGGATTAGACAACGATTCAAAATTGAATCGGTTCAACTGACCAATTCAATTCAATTTTTAAAACATTGATTTGACATGATGGGTGAACATTTATACAATCTTTACCTGGTGTATGTTTACATATGTGAGTTTCACATATTATGTCTACAAATATTCACTTTTGTAAAGATCTAACTAAAGCTTACTTTCCTCTTTCGATATTATGAGATGATATTCTAGTTGCATCCTTTATATCTCTTATTTTTATTCTTTCTTTTATACAGAATATAATAAAATTAAAACTCAGCTAAGTCAAATTTTAGTTAGGAATTTAGTTCCTTGTTATAGAAGTGGGGGTGTTGGAATATTTGTATTTTAAATTATTTTTAAAATATCTTACATAAGTATAGAACTATAATATAGGAAATAAATTTCAAAAGAATCAATCTTGAGTATAAATATTGAATTTTTGAACAATTATTATTCAAAAAGAAAGATTAATTTTTCATTTGTGAAAAATGTAAATAATTTTTGTAAGTGGCATATCCCACTAAAAATTACATGCTAATAAGAGCTTTGTTAGAGTTCATCTTGAATGTATAGAACTTGTGATAGCACTACGCCAAATAAGCTATTTAATAGCGCTTTTTTTGTTTTTGATAGCGCTTAAAAGTGCTATTAACCGCGCCACTATTGTAAATATTTCTTATTTAATAGCACTTTAAAAGCGCTATTAAAGTACCAATTTATAATAGCGTTTTAATTAAAGTGCTATCAAAGTCAGTATTTTGCATGTTTTTTGTTTGTTTTTTTATAGCACTCTAAACAAAAAGTGCTAATATATAACATATGTTTGATAGCGCTTTCAAATAAAGTGCTAATAAATGGTACATATTTGGTACAATATTTTTAATAAGTACAGTACAATATTTTTTCTTAGACAATCATTTTTTTTGGTGTAAATATAAAATAACTATATTCAATTCAACACAAATAACGCTTTAAGTTACTCATTGCATATATATTATGATCCATCAAATACCAAATAACATTTTAAATTACCAAATCCTATTGTTTCCAAATATCATAACATATAGAATATTAAGAGGGCATTTGCATAGCCAAATTTGTAGATGCCCATCTATGAGTACTTCAATCCAAATCCAAAAACATACAATCAAATTCTCTAAACAAAACACCAATAATATGTTTGTGGGACCAAGGTCTTGTCTCTCTTCTTCAGATAGAGCTTCTGTTAACTTCTCCTGACATTGATAAGTATAAAAGAAATAACCAATAGTTAGATACAAGTTGCAATTAATGGCTATTCTATCAAAATAAGACACAAAGACTCAATTAATTAAGGAAAATCGAGTTTAATGACTTCAAACTAACTAACAAAATACAAATTCGGTAACAATGATGAGTATAGAAAAAGTGTCACATCTATAATGTGAGCATTTTGGAAATAACATCTATAGTGTCACATCTAAAATTCGACTTACACATTGATCCACAACTCTTTGAACATTCTCATTATCAATCACCCCGCTCTTATTGACGCGGGCAGCCTTCCACACTTGACTATGGTTTATCTCACCAACTTCTGACTCTTCTACCTGTATATACATTTTTACAAATTAACATAGCAATTAAATTTTTTTATAATATTGTATAGTACATTTATACACATACTTACCATATCAGCTTCAAGACGAGCACACCCTAAACGTGACTTCATGAGCATCTTTAGGTACAACAAGATTGTTTTCAACTGCCTGAACCTGAACCAATCCTTACATCAGTTTGAAGTTCTCATCTGCTTTGTCTTTTATAAAGCACTTCTCAAAAACAAAAACAAAAAAACTTGAAAGCAGTTTACTTAGAAAACGTACTAATGATTGAATGTGTTCTTGTGATTCAGGTTGATTCTGGCAAATAGAAGTTACTATTTGCGGATACATATCGAGCGTTCTTCCAGAGGATACAACTGCTTGCATGAGATAAGGTTTAAGTTTGAAGGCAAAATTTGTAATTACTTTCTCCCCCAAGGTCCAACAAATAGGTGAAATAGTCTGAGAAAATCGAGTAAAACCAGATCATCACAGTGAAATTGATAAATAATGCAGAGGAAAACACAACACTAATAATGCAAAGTATGTTACCTGGTTCTCCTTTTTTACACTATCTAACAAAGGCCTAAGAAGATCCAAGGAAATATCTTCGCTTTCGTCAAGTATCCCGGTCATTACATTCTCCATTGATTCAATTACATTACTCGGATGGTTTGACCTTTAAATTTAGCAAACAATATCTCAAGTAATTAACAAAACTAGATAGTGTAAGTTTATCCAAGGGGTAACTTGTACAAGAACTGATGCAAATTTTGCAGAACACTTGTTAAATAAAAAATCATTCATGATATGGATTCATCAAATAAGTGAAGGGTCATAAATTATATTAAATCTAACAAAGACATTGCCTACTCACTTTATAGAGATTACATGCATTCATCAAATAAGTATAACAAAAATCAAATCCTTTTCTCACGGCATGTTTCTTATAGGAAATGACATAGCAGAACCAATATCACATCAATGATTCATTCCCTAAAGGTTCAACAATGTTTTACTTCGATCATCAATTACCAAAGTAACAAAAATAATGAAAAACCAAATGGAGGTATTAAATTTCATCTATGCAAGTTTTGAACGAGAACTACGTAGCACTGGTTCTTCAAATTGAAGGCATATTCGGTGTCTGACACTGACGCGACACCGACACATGTGGTTCAATTCTATCATTCAATTTATCTAATAATTACAGCTTCTGAAATGTCAACGTCAACGGAATGTGTCTGGTATCCGTGTTTGAGTCAGTGCTACATAAACCAGAAGTAACATAAAAATATATGTTGGGAGTGCGCTAACCTTATAATTCTCAGGAACTGTTGAAACATCTCCATAACCAGGTCATCACACTCAAGGTCCAGCATAATCAAGAACATTTTGATCTTTGAAAAATTTTCAAGTATGCTAATTGCTTTTTCATAGCTGCGGCCAGATACATGTGACAATTTTTCAAAAGCTGACACGGCCAGCTTCAAAAATTCCTGTCCACCATGAAATGAGATGTTTTTTCTGTACAACTTGAAAACTATCTATAATATATAGTATCTACAATGAAAATTACATCAAGTTAAAACAAGTACCTTCATCAGTTCATCGTCATAAGGTGCATCCGGTGTTGTAATTCTTGTAATCTAAGTGAGACAAGCTGTAACAGAAATCTTAACATCCTCGTCTGCGTGTCTCAAAAGTTGATCAGAAATCAATGTCTTCATTGGAAGTACACGTGATCCTTGAATTTGCTTGGGTGGATCATGATCCAAGATTGATAATATCAGCTCCAATTTCTAAAAGTTTGAATCACCAAATACAAGGGGGGAAAATCAGAATTCAATCAGTCTTATAAGAACAGAAGCACAGGATTACATATTCAAGATATACAATTGAATTCAACAAATCCAGCAGAAACATAAACATATATCAATAGATATGAAAATTAGTAGAATAACAAAATAACGAAAAAACGAAAAGCACAAACAAATAACGAAATTTGATCACAGAGTTCGGCCAAGTGTACCTGCATTTACCAAATAAAATACTAGAATTGGTTTATATCATTACCCTAAATCATACCTATCAGCAAACTATGAGTAATAACCAACAAGACACAAAATTGAGCAAAGCAGGAAGATGAATTCAGCAAAATTCATGACACAAAAATGAAGCAGAAATGAGATAGGTTACATCAAGTAATTGAAGAAGCTTATCAGCTGAAGAAGTCAAGTTTTTAGATAGCTGTCTTCCAACATGTCTCAGCCAATTCACTGTATCATCATCAATCAAAACAATGCTATCAGTAGAACAAGCCATGTTTTGCTCACAATTACAGCACACAAAACCCTAAAAATCATCAATATACAACTCTACAAAACAACAGAAGCCTTATCAGTCAAACTAGAACAAACTCTAATGACCTATCAAATTTTGTCTTCAACACTCTTTCTTTCGGTGACTTAACTCCATTCACAACATTCAACTCAATCTCACTCACAGCCAAATCAATTATACTTAACTTCTCATTCTTTGGTATCCCCAAGAAAGTAACCTTTTCAATGATCCATTTTTGGTCCAAAGCAAATTTTCCATTTGTAACATTTGATCTTACAGAAACACTATTGTTATGAAATTCACTATAAAATCTAACAAATGCCCACTGCTCTTTCTCTTCTATATCAACAGCCTCACCATCATCCAAATAAACCTGTCCATAACTATTTCCATTTCCATTAAAAACAATCACAAGTTGGAATGCGGTGTTCCTGGCCGCTTCCGTTGTCAATTTAATTAACACAAAATCTGTAATCTGTAATCTAGTCAATTTAAAAATCAAAAGATGCGCGAATGAGTAGTGTTAGCAAAAAGCAATAAAATTAACACAAAATAGAAGTAATCAGTGCACTAATACTAGTTAATAATCCTAGATCACAAAAACAATGAAGTCGATGAACAAAAGAAAAAGGGTTCAAAATTTCAAACCAAGTACAAGAAGCCCTTATATCAGTGATGCACAAGGGAAAGGCTGCATATGAGCACAATAGCATAGACAACACAATCCATGAAGACAGCATCAGCCACAGTCTTCCGCACCATTCCAATTTCCAATGTTTTTGCAAGTTGTGCATATTGATCAGAAGAATCAGCGCTGGCGCTGGCGCTGGCGCTGTTCCTTCTCCTCCTCAACCTTTCATCAGAGCCTCTTTGTTTCCCAGAAATAATTTTCGCAACAACAAAAGACGAATTTGTGAGGAGAACCAAGTAAAGTGGTCTAAAGCTTATAATAGTCTTAATCAAAGAGAATCCTAGACAAGAGGCAACAACCAATAAGGCAACTATAATCGAACAACAAAGACGCGTAAACCTTGAGGCATCAACGGCATTCGTCACATCCCTAGGGCTTATGAAATCGAAACTTCTAGGTTCTTCGAGCTGGGAAATTTCATCAGATGAATCTTGATGTGTTGTTGGTGGTTGAGGTTGAAATAGAGGTTGTGATTCTTGTACATGTTCAGGTTCAATTTCAGAATTGGGGAAACTTAAAATCTCACTTTCACTGTGTTGTTTTTCAGGAAAAATTTCGGCATCAACGTGATTCTACAAAACGGAATTCGGATACTCCTGCTCCTCGTCGTTGGCGTGAGGCAGATCTGAAGAAAAGCAGTTGTAAAATCAAAATTGAATTCTAGGGTTTGTAGATGGATGATTACAGAAGCAATAAGAAGAGAGAAAATTGAAATGAAAGAGAAGAGAAGAGGTAGTTACCGGGAGGAGGGAGGGTTTGGATCCGACCCTGGATGAAGGCAAGACGGTCGGATCCTTGTTGGAGGATTCTTCTTCTTCTCCGGGCGTCTCTCAGGTTGTTTGCTTCTGTCATTTTTTTCCCCTTCCTCTTTACTTCAGCTCAGGCTTTGTATTGCCAACTGACTCAAATCCTTGAAATTTTTGTTTCTTTATGGTTTTGAGTTAACTCAATGCTGCTGCTAAAGAAATGTTAACTTTAATCTTAGTTCATTCATTTTTTATATAAATATAGTTTAAGGTTTTTTTAATATTATATATATAACATAGCGCTTTTTAATAAATTCTATTATATAGGTAGTCAAATAATAGCGTTTTATACAAAATGCTATCTTAAAGAAGTTTAATAATAGCGTTCTGGTACAAAGTGCTATCAAAATTACATAGTTTGTATTATATAATAGCGCCCGATTAAAAAGTGCTCTTATAAATGTGTTTTTTCCATTTTAATAGCATTTTTTTAAAAGTGCTATTAAATTAGGTGATACAAAAAATCATTTTTGGCGTAGTGTAGACTTAATATCGACATTTGTTTTAGATGTCAAGTTTTCTATTTTTGAAAATTTGTTAAAGGAATTTATCAAGCTAAACCACTTTGTTTTTTATCATTAAGATTTTTTAATCGAAACCAGAAAAAAATATTTTGTTAGTTTAATTTTGTTTGGATTGTTGGTTTTGTCGTTTTTATCATTTTTTAATTTACTTACATTCTTATTGAAATCTATTGGGTTGTCAATCCTTCTTAAAAATCAATACGAAATTCAAAATAAAGAATTAGAGCCTTTTTTATAAAAAAAACTAACTGATAAATAAACATGTTACATAATTTAGTTTTTTCTTTAAAAAGATATTTCTATTAATTATATTTCTATATATTTATCCTATTTAAGTGATATTGACTGAGACCTTGAATAAATAAGGTTGAGTTTCAAATAAATAATAGGTAAAATACTAAATGGTAATAATTTAATATTTGTAAGAGTTTATTCTTATAATGATTTTATAGTTATTTAAGAAGAATTGAGAGTTTTATTTAGTAGTGACGGCATCAATTTGGATATAAGATAAAATGTTTTCTTATATTATGTAAAAGAATAAGAAAGAATATAGAATAGAAGATGAAGATTGATTGAGATAATCAACCAAAAAATAAAATGATACAGGAAGTAAAGAAAACATCTGAGATTTTGATTAGAACAAAAATATAAAAAGATGGATTCAATTAAAATAAGAAATTATAGTATATTTAAATGGCATTTATATTATTATTAATAGTGACTTATTAAATATAGAAAACATAAATGTATAATTGAAAGACTTAAAAGATAAATATTTGAGATGAAATTATTGTATTGGCTTAATTCTAGGATATCTTGTGTCGATGATTCCCTATTAATTTAATTAACATTGGTTTTCTCCTATATATGCATCTCCGTTAATAACTTATATTTAATCAAAGAAAGGTGCGTCTCGGAAATACATTTAAAAAATGCAAGTGAAAATTTGGGTTTTCATAGGGTTCTTTTCAAGTACACAAGATGGGATAAGAAATGCTCTATTTTGGCACAAAATTAGGGTATGACAGCTCTGAGTTCTATAGAGATTTTACAATGATAGTGCCACCCGATTTCATATGATAGAACCACTATATATATATATATATATATATATATATATATATATATATATATATATATATATATATATATATATATATATATATATATATATATATATATATATATATATATATATATATATATATATATATATATATATATATATATATATATATATATATATATATATATATATATATATATATATATATATATATATATATATATATATATATATATATATATATATTAGTATAGAAATAACTTTTTATAATGGTTGCGTCTTCAGTGTTCGACACGTAACCCTCTCTGTATCTTCCAACCTTCTAATTTACTTCCACATGTTTTCGATGACTAAATAAGATCAAAAAACAGTTACTCAATTTGATCCTTTTATATTATCTCGACTGTCGTGGTTCATAATTCAAACTGTCAAATTATGAGAAAAAAGCATTCTCATAATTTATAATACATGCTAAGTCTCGAAAATTAGGGCAATTATGTCGAACTTGACACAAAGGTCGAAATCACTACTCTTGTCGAGTACATAATTAAATATTCTCATATTTTAACTATGTATTATCTTAGTTTCATATTCTCTTTGTCAAACTCGGCCCATCGAGAGTTACTATGCTACCAAATAGATAGCATGTTTTTTTTAAGAAAAGTTAAAATGCATTGCGGATCTGGTTGCCACCTCGGTTTTCATTGTTCGTTGAGGTGAAATTTTTTTCCATAAAATATATTATTTATAGTATTTATTGTACACCAATTAGAAATTGAATTACTTGATATTAATTAAAAATGAGTACTGCAGAAGAAACTACAAACTTGGTTTTCAATGCTAAGTATTATAGTTCTTGTTATTTTTTGGATTAAAGTAAATATACTCAATAAAATGAAATTACTTCTAAATGTATTTTTTAAATACACACCACCAATTCTATCCTAACTTGTCATTAGGTTATTCGCGGAGCAGTTTGGGCGGTTTTGACGTTAAAAATCATTCGAACCGCAAGAGAAAAAAAAGTCTGATAGTTTGGTTCGACAGGCTTTTAGAAGAAAAAAAATTAAACCAAAGCAATGCAGTTTAATTTGATTCGATTTTTTTCAAATATTTTATTGAGCCATAATACGCATATAGATGATAATATAACTTTGTATTTATTCATTCACACACTACCAAATAACAACAAAACTCATCATATTTGAACAAAAGTGGAATTATAAACAAAAAATAGTAGCATAAGACAATATAAAAATATTATAATGAAATAAAAAATAGAAGAGATGAGAGATTAGTGAAGATGAAAAAGAAAAATATAACAGAGGAGAGATTAAAGAAGAAGATGTGCGATAAAAATGAAATTGAAGGAGGGAACATTTCCATAAAAATGACAAGTAAAAAAATAAAGAATATAAGAGAGTAGAGATTAGAGAAAAAGAAGCAAGATGTATGTGACGAAGAATGTGCGGTAATGTTAGGAGAGATTTGAGAAGACTGTAATTGAAAGCATTAGTGTAAGGATGAGAAAATTGTATGTTATCATAAGGCTAAGGTATAATAGGTTTAGGTTTGGGTTGGATGTGACATAATGCGGTTTGATTTGGTTTAAAAATACCAACCGCAAACTAAATCGACCCTGAAATTTTATTAAAGATGATCCAAATAACTCCCAACCAAAAACATTTTTTTGTGCTTTCGATTTGATTTGATTCAATTTATGATTTCTATTGTGTTGATTCAGTTTTAAATATCAGTATTGATGGTCATCTTATCTATTTAAAATAGACAGTGTACTTATGAAGTGATAATAAATTTTAAATTTTAAATATAATATAATAATCCATTAACTCAAACCAAGAGGACATTTCACCTTTTACAACATTTCTATATTATATATCAATATGATTATATAAGCATATGTAGAGAAATAAAGGTTGAACAGACAATTAGTATCATGTCAATTTTAGGAGAAACCACCAATTGGTTTGGGGATCCTATATTTTTTTTGAAACATATAAGTACTTTAAGAAATAAATTGAAAACATGGATATAATTGGTATTAAATTGGAGAACTTGGGTAAAGTTGGAAAAACTACTCAATTTTACCATTGTTCAAAGTTATAGGGTGAGTAGTCCCAGGTGTCCTTCTTAATCATATAGCACAACAAATACTAGATATGTTTATTTACACAACATACGCATATTTACATATGATGTGTTTATTCACACTATTTACATGATACAGGATCTACAAACAAATAGTATGTTTATACATATGCACTCTTCACATTATGTGAGATTTTTACATGATACGTCTGCATATATGCCGTCTTCACATGATTTAAAATTTCACATGATGCTTCTAAATATATGCACAATTGGCATGCTGTAAATAGTTGAGCAATATTTTAAAATTTTAATTAGAGAAAGAATCGTTAAAACATGCTGTCAAGGTTCAATCGATTAAACTCATTAAACCGTAATTAAACTGTATATTAAATTTAAAATAAGAATAAATAAATATATTATTAAACATGATTATAAAATTAATTTATATCATAATTTGTAAAATAAAATTCTCAAATAAATATGATACTAATAAACAAACATACAAAAGAAGAAGAATATGTGCAATATTAAATCAGAAAATTAGTTGAGGACCAATATTTATATATTTATCCTAATTGTTTAACTCAAAATCACAAATTCTTTATCAATGTAATTTTTCACATCTCTTTCAAGACACCAGTTACCCCATGTCCATAAATATTACATTATTCTTCTCTTTCTATTTGCATTTATATTTTCTCATGTCTTCCAAATTTATTTTTTATTTTTCATTTATACAATTTTAAATATTTGATATAATTTATTTTCAGATTTATATAAATAAATAAAATAAAGTAAAACATAAAAAAAAAATCTTTGATTTTTTGAACCGTCTAGTTCACCAAAATCGATCCCGATTTTATTCTTATTTTGGTTTTTTGCCATTGAAGCAATTTTACCTCAACTTTATAGACCTAACTATTTATTTGTCCAAATCAAACCGAATTAGTCAACGATTCAAAGTTGAATCGGTTCAACTGACCAATTCAATTCAATTTTTAAAACATTGATTTGACATGATGGGTGAACATTTATACAATCTTTACCTGATGTATGTTTACATATGTGAGTTTCACATATTATGTCTACAAATATTCACTTTTGTAAAGATCTAACTAAAGCTTACTTTCCTCTGTCGATATTATGAGATGATATTCTAGTTGCATCCTTTATATCTTTTATTTTTATTCTTTCTTTTATACATAATATAATAAAATTAAAACTCAGCTAAGTCAAATTTTAGTTAGGAATTTAGTTGCTTGTTATAGAAGTGGGGGTGTTGGAATATTTGTATTTTAAATTATTTTTAAAATATCTTACATAAGTATTGAACTATAATAT